ATCTCAATACTCAGGGGAAGCCCCTGTCAAAACTATAGTTGCAAAAGAGAGAAAACATCCTTACCAGCTCAGCCATTAATTCCAAATTCCCAAACCTGGAATTGTAAGAAGTCTGTCCTTGGGGACAGATGGGCCTCCCATCTCCTTCAGTCTTGGAGGAAACCACTCTAAATTTCAAACAAGGAAACAGAGAGAAAAACCCCTTTTCCAGTTTGAAATTCCTACCTGAAATGTTATACGCTGACCACCTGACACTTGGCTAGCTGCATGAGACATAGTTAAACCTGAAGTCACCGGGTACGGATCACCCATACTGATTATGACAGGTGCACTTCCGTAAAATTTGCAACGGCCATTTCCTTCATGGTGAAGCAGGAAGCTTTAGAATGAAGATGCAGAATGGAGATGGGTTCACACCCAGGGCAGAAGTGTAATCTCTGGACACCCATGGATCCCCAAATTGGCCCACGTGTGACACTCTCCTCCACAGGGAGGGGTCTGTGTTTTTCTTTTGGGTATCAAACATCCTAATACCGGTTGGACTTCCCTGGTCTGGCACCCTCCAGACCTCAGCTGGAACAGGCAACATCATTTCTAGCCCCACTGCCACCAGCCCCCCTAGTCTTGACCTGGCCCACCAGCTATGGGCCCCGCTGTTCTGCTGAGAAGTTGAAGGCTGCTCTCAAATCCCCCCTCACTCTTCTCTTCTGCAGACTGAACAAATGCAGATCCTTCAGCCTGACCTCATAGGTCAAGTGCTCCAGCCCGGTCATCATTTTGGTCAGCCTCCGCTAGACCCTCTCCAATACGCCCACATCCTTTCTATAGTGGGGAACCCAGAACTGGACGCAATACTCCAGATGTGACCTCAGCAAAACTGAATAAAGGGGAATAATCACTTCTCTGGACCTGCTGGTAATGCTCCTCCTAATGCAACCTAATATGCCATTAGCCTTCCTGGATACAAGGGAGCCTTGTTGACTCATACCCAGCTTCTCATCCACTGGAATCCCCAGGGCCTTTTCTGCGAACTGCTACTTAGCCAGTCGGTCCCCAGCCTGTGACAATGCTTGGTATTCTTCTGTCACAAGGGCAGGACTCTACACTTGTCCTTCTTGAACCTCCTCAGATTTATTTTGGCCTAATTTTCTACTCTGTCTAGGTCACTCTGGATCTTATCACTGCCCTCCAGCGTATCTACCTCTCCCCCTAGCTTAGTGTCATCTGCAAACTTGCTGAGGGTGCAATCCATCCCCTCAGCCAGGTCATTTATAAAGATGTTGAACAAAACCAGCCATAGAACAGACAAAACGGGTCCAAGAACAGAGAAAACTGGTCACAGGCTCCCAACCGTCAGGAAGGAGGACACTTTGGGAAATGAGATTAAGGCACCTAAATCACTAGAAGGTTACCTGAGCTGCTTAGCCAGCGTCATTGGCAAGGGACTGGCCACCATGTGTGTGCTTGCTAGAGAAGGCAAAAGGAAGTTTGTTTAGAAAAAGTAGCTGGTCCTAGCCCCCCAAGGGTCCGAAGCAGGAATATTTTGGGGAAGTCCTGCCCATAACGCTAAAATAAACCAATTCCATTGAGTTCATTGGAGCTTTAAGCAACAGCTTAACCTGTACGTGCTTCACCCCAACTTGTCTAAATCACTTGGGCAGCCCTGAAAATCTCAGCCATAAAATGTATTCCTAGAATGAGCAAGCTATTTCTTCACCATCCCAGGAGCATTCACCCAGCCAAGAAAAGATCTGTTGTAGAATGAAATGCTTTATCCTTTGCCCTGACTTTCCCTTGAGGATTAGACGTTTGACACGGCGGGTGTTGTCTAAGAATGAATCAGACACTAATGTTTCCTTGCTCGTTAGCTTCTCCACGCACACGTGCCTCAGGAGACTGTCCCTTCCCATGGAAGGAGATATAATGATGGAGAAAAGACTCTCTCCACTTGGCAGTATCTGAGGGCATCTAACCAGACATGGGGAGGGAGGCATGGTCGCTGTTTTGCCTTGGGACCTTCCATGTCCTGTGAACACCAAAGAAGGTGAAGGCAGAAAAGCTGGATTGATTAACCCAGACGCTGGTCCCTGCATCCTTCATGAGGAGAAGACATCAGAGACTCTATCTTATGACAGACCCACCACAGAGGTAAAATAACCTTCCCTCCCTTGGTTTTTGAAGCAATGTAACTTTGTCCAGCAATTTATACCAGGCGTACACCAGGGGAATTTGGCAAGGTTCTCTCAAACTCCCAGCCCAAAGTGACTGCTGGAATTGGGGTAAAAAAGGAAATACCTTTCCAGTCACTTCTAGCCTAGCTCCGAAATTGTCCCCCTATCACCACGGGACCTGACGACTTCACAGCCCTGAAAGTCGGTATCATCTCGCTCGCTGGGAGGTATTGATTTCCCTGCTTTCCAGATGGGGCCCCGACTGACAGCGGGATGGATTTCTAGAGCTATTTTTGGCATCTGTCGAGGTTTGATATCCGTGACTGCCCAGACTGCCCCTCACCATGCACAGGTGTCGTACACTTGTATAATCCAGCCTGAAAGTCAGGTTGGTGTCAAAGGAGGGACATGAACCAACATCTCTGAAGTCCCTGGCAACTTGCTAATGACTGGAGGAGACTTTACAAAGTCATAGAATCATAAGGTTGGAAGAGACCTCAGGAGTTCATCACCTCCAGCCGCCTCGCTTCCCCGCCCAGCGTCCCGGGTGCGTTTCTCGCTGGCGGTGACCTCACTGGGGGCAGGAGAAGGTTAGTGAGATGAGATGGGGACAGCGGAATTGACTTTGTTACCCTGCTCATTGCTCAGGGGCAGACACTGGTTTCGAGCAGGTCTGGCAGAACATGGGATTTTCCCTCAGTGTTAAGTATCAGAGGGGTCGCCGTGTTAGTCTGAATCTGCAAAAGCGGTGAGGAGTCCTGTGGCACCTTATAGACTAAGTGAAGTGTAGGAGCATAAGCTTTCGTGATCCCACGAAAGCTTATGCTCCTACACTTCAGTTAGTCTATAAGGTGCCACAGGACTCCTCGCCGCTTTTCCCTCAGTGTTGGTCATTATTATCCATGTTGAAGCTTTTTCCAACTATTACAAAGTGAGGGAAACTGAGCAAGAAGAGGAAGTAGCAGGGTTGGGACCAGGTGGAGGACAGAGGTGAAAGGGGGGTTCCCAACAGGGGCTCCCAGCAGTGAACAATGGGACCCCTGTAAGATCCGGGAAGGTCCAAGAACTGGGGGTGCAAGGGGCAGATGCCCCAGAGGGAGTGAACAGAACAGGTTATGACACACAGAGGCTAGGGACACCAGTCGTACCCATCTTGGCTAATAGCCACAGATGGACCTAACCTCCACGAAGTTATGTAGGGTTTTTTTGGTTCCACTGCTAGCTGTGGCCTTCACAAAATCCTCTGGCAAGGAGTTCCACAGGCTTATTACACATTGTGTGAAGAAATGTTTCCTTTTTTTGTTTTAAACCCACTGCCTATGCATTTCATTTGGTGACTCCTAGGTCTTGTGTTATGGGGAAGGTTCCTTATCCACTTTCTCTACACCAGTTATGATTTTATAGACTGCTATCATATCCTGCCTTAGTTGTCTCTTTTCCAAGATGAAAAGTCCCAAGGTAACTATTCCGTGTCACTGACCATTTTTGCTATCCTTTTCTGAACCTTATCCAGTGACAAGGTATCTTTTTTATGATGGAGTAACCGCATCCTCATGGAGTCTCAATAAATGGGTTTGCCATGCATGTAGATCGATGCCAGGTGGTATTTTTCTGACTTATTGTCTAGACCTTTTAAAAAAATTTCAAGATTCTGTTTCCTTTTTTCACTGATGCGGCACATGGAATTGATGTATTCCAAGAGGTCTACACAATGACTCTAAGTTGGCTCTCTTTTGGGACTACAGTTAATTTAAACCCCATCATTTTACACATATAGTTGGGATTATGTTTGCAATATTCATTTATTGATATTAAATTTCAGATGATATTTTATTGTCCAATAACTCAGGTATTTTTACAGCTTATTGTAACTTTTCACAGCCTACCTGGTACTTAACTATCTTGAGAAGTTTTGTAGCATCTGCAAAATTTACCACCTCGCTGATTACCCCTTTCTCCAGATCATCTATAAATATGTTGAATAGCATTGGTCCTAGTACAGACCTCTGTGGGACACCACTAGTTACCTCTTTCCATTCAGAAATCTGACCATTTATTTCTACCCTTTGTGTCCTGTCTTTAACCATTTACCAGCCCATGAATGGACCTTCCCTCTTATCCCATGGCAGCTTCCTTTGCTAAAGAGATTTTGATGACGGACATTGTCAAAATCTTTCTGGAAAGCTAAGTACACTACATCCACTGGATCCTCCTTGTCCTTCTGCTTGTTGACCCACTCAAAAAACTGTAGGGGCACTTCTACGCAGCAGGACAAAAGTCAAATTAAGCTACGAAACTACAATTTCGTCAATTGTGTAGCTGAGGTCGAAATATCTTAATTCGGCTTTTGGTGCTGTCTACACTGCAGGAAGTCAAAGGAAAAACACTCTTCCTTCAACTTCCCTTACTCCTCATGAAATGAGGCTTCCAGTGGTTGGAGTAAGAAGTTCTCCACCTCACCATTATTATGAAATAAAGTGATACTGTTTGTCCAAGAATGCCTTCTGAGTGGTAAGAGCTAGGACCACCAAATTTGTTATGCAGTTTACTCTGTCTGTCTCTTTACTGTTGTATCTGAATCCCTATTTCTATAGGTGCCATCTGTCAAGGTGCCATGCAGGTTTGCAAAGAGATGGGTGTGTTGCTTTAACCTCCAGTCTGTTCAGTGATGGAATCGATCCCCGGGATACAAAGATGGCATTTCTCCTCCCTTGGGCCCCAAACCCCGCTCAGCTGTTGTGCCGGAAGCCAGAAGAAAAAACGTTAATATTTCTTGGATGAATATTATTTTCTGTCTGGGAGTTCGTTACCTTCCCATGGACCCACCCCATGGGGAACCCAGAACATAGAAATGAAACGTCCATCACAGGATTCATCCTCCTGGGACTTGGAATTCTTCCAGAATTGCAAACTTTTCTCTTCCTGCTCTTTCTACTAATCTACATTGTAACTGTGGCTGGGAACTTCCTCATCGTGGTGCTGGTGGTGGCTGATCGGCACCTGCACACCCCCATGTACTTCTTCCTTGGCAACTTGTCCTGCCTGGAGATCTGCTACAGCTCCACCCTCCTGCCCAAGATGCTGGCCAGTATCCTGACTGGGGACCGGACCATTTCCTTCAGTGGGTGCCTCACCCAATATTATTTCTTTGGTTTTCTGGTTGCCACTGAATGCTTTCTCTTATCGGTGATGTCTTATGACCGGTATCTAGCGATATGCCACCCACTGCATTACGCAGTCCACATGAGGGGCAGGGCCTGGCTACGGCTGGCAGCTGGGTCATGGCTAGGGAGCTTCCTAGGTAATGGCATATCAATGTTGTCAGTCTCCCAGTTAACTTTCTGTGGCCCCAACGCTATCGACCATTTCTTTTGTGATCTTGTCCCTCTGATACGTCTCTCCTGCAATGACCCAAAGATGATGGAAACTCTGGCTTTCATATACAGCTTCATTTTCTTGCTGGGCCCGTTCCTACTCACCGTGACGTCCTACATCTGCATCATCGCCACCATCCTGAGGATCCCGTCCACCAGAGGGCGGCAAAAGGCCTTTTCCACCTGCTCCTCCCATCTCATCGTGGTGACCATTTACTATGGAACACTGCTCATTGTCTACATGTTCCCAACCACCGAACTCATGGGGGACTTGAAGAAAGTTCTCTCTGTTGCCTACATGGTCCTGACTCCCCTGGCCAATCCCCTCCTCTACAGCCTGAGAAACAAAGAGGTGAAGGAATCCCTGAGGAAAGCTAGGAAGAAATTCTTCTTTGGATGATTCCAAAATAAAATTGATACAAGAAAAGAAAAGAAAAAAAGGAAAAAGAAAAGGAAAAAAAAAACACAAAGAAAAAAGAAAAAGAAAAACTTAAAAATAGATATAACATGGGCTGGACTAGGGCGTAAACCAAAGTGCACCCAAGTCGAAGGACCTGTTTCCATTAGATTAATTGTGTTCCATGTGATGCCCTTATAGAGTCACAGCCATGGGAGATCGCTACAAAACAGTTATCCCCAGTTTTTGGCACCCAATTTGTTTTCCGCATTGGTAACGGTGGGCTTGCCGGGAGAATCCCCTAGTTTCACATAGAGTACGATGCTCAGGGCATGTTCCCAACAAGGCGATGGACCCTTGATCGCTCTTCTGGGATATGTTCTTTTTACAAGGAACATGAAGCAACATGACTATGGAAGGGAAGGAAAATGGAGTGTCCCACCTTGATCCTCATCCCTGGATTGCTGCATGGGGAGATAGTAGAGGTTAACCAATCTGAACTGATATCTTAAATCCTGCTTCATGCAACTGGAGGATTTTGTAGCTATGGAAATTGCCTGCTCTACTTATCCCATGGGAACTCAAGGGGAATTTGATAAGGATCCTTCTGGACTAGGTCGTAAACCAAAGTGCACCCAAGTCGAAGGACCTGTTTCCATTAGATTATTATATTTACTACCTGACACAAAAGGACTGAATTTCGAAAGGGACAGAGCTATCAGCTATATTGCTAGCTCCTGGACTGTGGAAGAGGTGACCCTTCCCCTAAATTATAGAACACTAGAACTGTACGGGACATCGAGAGGTCATCGAGTCCAGTCCCCTGCCCTCACAGCAGGAACAAGCACCCTCTAGATCATGTTTCAGACAGTCTATGAGGAGGCATGCAAGGACATGTGACTATAGCTCATAGAATCATAGAGCTGGAAGAGATCTCAGTAGGTCATCAAATCCAGCCCCTTTCCCAAGGCAGGACCAATCCCAACTAAATCATCCCAGCCAGGGCTTTGTCAAGCCGAGACTTAAAAACCTCTAGAAATGGAGATTCCACCACCTCCCTAGGGAACCAATCCCAGTGCTTCCCCCCCATCCAATTGAAAAAGTTTTTACTAATAGTCAACCTAGACCTCCCCCACTGAAATGTGAGACCATTGCTCCTTGTTCTGCCATCTGCCACCACTGAGAACAGCCCCTCTCCCTTCAGGCAGCTGAAGGCTGCTCTCAAATTCCCCGTCACTCTTCTCTTCTGCAGACTAAACAAACCCAAATCTCTCAATCTTTGCTCCATGTGCTCCAGACCCCTAATCATTTTGATCACCCTCTGCTGGACCCTTTCCAATAAGCCCACATCCTTTCTATAGTGGGGGGCCCAGAACAGGACACAATACTCCAGGGCTGTGTCTACATTGGCATCCCCAGTTCCTTTTCTGCAGAACTGCAATTTAACCAGTTGGTCCCCTGCCTGTAACAATACTTGGGATTCTTCTGTTTACACTTGTCCTTGTTGAATCTCATCCGATTTCTTTTGGCCCAATCCTCTAATCTGTCCAGGTCACTCTGGACCGTCTCCCTGCCCTCCAGCGTATCGACCTCTCCCCCTAGCTTAGTGTCATCTGCAAACTTGCGTAGGTTGCAACCCATCCCCTTGTCCACAGGACATGTAGCTCCATTTTCATACCTGTCTTTACACACAAACTGGTCTGGGAGCTTGAACTGGAACAAAACTTTTGTGCCAAAAGGTGGGGGGAAGCTATCTAAGGTGGGTTTGACATCACCTCTTGGCCTCACTCTGCACACAAGACATCTCCTGGAAAGACCTGAGGAACAAAATCTTGACTGGGAGAAGTGCTGGATGCTGGTACAAATCATTGTAGGCTGTGTATGGAAAGTTAGTGGACTGATTATATCATGAATCAGGATGAGAAACTGCTGAGTCAGATCCAATCCACCTAGTACATTAGGTTTACTTTTCATTTTCATGTATTTGCTAGATAATCTGCTTTGACCTGTTTGCTATCCCAAAGCATCACTCTGTATGTATCTCTCTGTAATTAATAAACAGGCTTTGTCTTAACCAGTGTGTTCTGAGTGAGGTGTCTGGGGAAAATCCCAGCCTGCATCACACAAGCTATTCATGCAGTTCCCCTCACTTTGCGGAGGAGGCAATACTCCTAATAAGTGCAATGTGGAGCGGGAGAATGGCTTCTCGACTTCGAGAATCGTGTTTGTTTTGTTTTCACTTTTGTGCATCCCACAAATGATTTTTCTGTGGCTCTGCAGCCCACAAGCCAAAAAAGATTCTCCCCCCTCCCCTGATCTAAATGGAAAAGCCAGGAAGTAAGGTAGCCATCCGCACAGTCCCAACATGGGTGTTTAACTGGACGTGGGGTGGGTTCTAGACCACGTGTAGCCTGTTTATATCTATAAATCACCCTTTTCTGATGAAAACACATGTTTGGCCAGTACACGGGCTGACTCCGGGTGCAGCACAGATGGGGACATACGCCTGGGAAATCTACCACCCTCACATTTATGCTTCTTGCCTTTAAATCACCCTTCAAACTCCCTCCACTGCACTCACAGCGACCTCTGGGGGCTTTGTCATAGCTCTGATCTCGGGACCATCTGCGGCCCAACAGCAGTGCTGGGATCAGAAGCCGCCAGGTGCTGACATCAGGCAAACACCGAGGGAGGAGGCCACAGCCAGGCCACATAAAAGACAACTTAGGTTAGAGAACTGAGCTCACAGCTCCAGGAGTGTTACAGCATCTTATCTCCTGTTCAGTCTTCAGCAATTTTTTGGGGATCCGTTCTGCCCTTCTCTGAGGGGTGGAAAATCACTTTCTTAATGTCCTTGTCTAGGGTTGTTATTATTGGTTATTTCCCCCTCATTTCCCTCTCCTGCCCCCTATTTGCTGGTCTTTCTTCTGGCTACAGGGAACCTGTCCTTTTCTTGTGCCTGGCTTGTTTCCACACTTCCAAAATGCTTTCCCCAGCCCCAGTGCCTAGTCTGGTTCTCTTTTCCATCTCTCTCTGCTGTCCTGGCATAGTCGGCCATATCCACCACTCCCAACCCTCCGCTCTGCCTTCCCAAGGCCACAATCACCACTGAACCCACCCCTCCTTCAGCCAGGCTCTGACCACTTCCTGCTACAGCCCATGAGTTTATATGGGGGGAGGGAGCCAATCAGGACTCCTAAATCCAGTGTCAGTCAGATTGCTTCAGTGGGCGGGACTTCCTATGAGGTTCAACCACCACAGATTGCAGAGGTTGGGAAGAGAGGCTACTGGATGTAGGGCTGTAGGTTCCCTTAGAGCTTTGTAGACCTGAGTTCTAATCCCCAGATATCCTTGCTAGTGATATTACTCACTAAAATTCTTCAATAAGAATAGATATATGCTTGTTAAACTAAAGGAAGCTTGAATATGAAATTCAGTGTAACAAGTACCGATGCTAAAATTCCTTTTTGGAAGGTGGTAGGGTGCTGTGGATATCTCATGCTTCACCAAATATTGATAGGAGGTCCTGGGGAATAGCATGACCCAGAAATGATAGAGCTTGAAGATGTATGTCAGCTGGAGGTAGGTGTGGCTATGAACAGGGATGTCTCCCCTTTCCAGGATAAGGGATTGGCTGCCTGCTTCTGGGGGATCGTTTAAGACCATCTTTGATTCTGCTTTATTGCCCTACAGCAGGCTTGAGGAACCATTTTCAATCGGGGGCCACTGACCAAAACTTACTGACCTGACTTCCCAAGAAGCCCCTCCCCACAACTCAAGTCACCCCAACAGAACCCAGCTCAGATCAACCTAACTCAACTCAACCCAACACCTCAACCCAACCCAACCCAACTCAACTCAAATCAGCCCAACTCACCTCAACCCAACCCAACACAATCCAACTCAAGTCAACTCAGCCCCACCCAACCCAGCACACACTGAACCTATGGAACTCCTTGCCACAGGAGGTCGTGAAGGGCAGGACTTTAAGGGTATGTCTACACTACCCCACTAGTTCGAATTAGCGGGGGTAATGTAGTCATCCACAGTTGCAAATGAAGCCCAGGATTTGAATTTCCCGGGCTTCATTTGCATGAAGCTGGCCGGCGCCATTTTTAAATGCCGGCTAGTTCGAACCCCGTGCCAC